TCTGGCTCTTGGAAAGAGCCGTGCCAGGTAACATAGGTAAGGATCCCTTTTTCGAGTTAGACATGCTAAATCGATCAAGGACCTTATCTATATATGTACTTTGACATAGACCTATCAACTTTGTTGACCTATCACGGTAGATTCTTATGTCAAGGGCATAACTAGCATCCCCTAAGTCCTTCATGGCGAAGTTCTCGCTCAACCAAGTCTTTACAGATGTAAGAGCAGGAACATCATTACCCATTAACAATATGTCATCGACATATAGGATTAAGAATACTATCACACTCCCACTGACCTTCTTGTAAACACAAGATTCGTCAGAATTCTTCTCGAAACCAAAACTAGTGATGGTTTCATTAAAGTGTATATACCAACTCCGAGATGCTTGTTTCAATCCGTAGATTGACCGTTGCAGCTTACAGACTTTGGCAGATTCACCAGCAATTATAAAACCGTCAGGCTGTGTCATATAGACATCCTCTTTGAGGTTCCCGTTAAGGAAAGCCGTCTTGACGTCCATCTGCCAAATCTCATAATCGTAAAACGCTGCAATCGCAAGCATTATCCGAATGGACTTCAGCATCACAACTAGAGAAAAGGTTTCGTCATAGTCAATTCCATGGATTTGTCTATAACCTTTTTCTACCAATCTAGCTTTGAAGGTATGAACCTTCCCGTCTACGTCTGTTTTCTTTTTGAAAATCCACTTGCACCCTATGGGTTTTATCCCTTTGGGTGCATCAACCATGGTCCAGACTTGGTTTGTGTACATAGACTCCATTTCGGATTTCATGGCATTAAGCCATTCTTCGGATTCGGGGCACGTGATTGCCTCGAGGTAGGTCTCAGGTTCGCCTTGGTCTACCAGTAAGACGTCACCTTCATTAGATACAAGGAACCCGTATCTAACCGGAGGATTACGCATCCGGTCTAACCTACGTGGTAAAACCTGAGTTGGTCGAGATACTAAATCTTGACACTCGGGTTCCACTGCTATTGAGATCTGTTCTTGTGGTTCTCGAATTTCTTCGAGGTCTACCTTTCTCCCACTAGAAATAGCAGAGAGAAACTCCTTCTCAAGGAAGGTTCCGTTCCGAGCAACAAATATTTTGTTATCGGTCAGATGATAGAACTCATACCCTTTCGTTTCTTTGGGGTATCCCACAAATTTACATGACGAAGCTAAAATATAGCGGTAAGTCAATAAAATTAACCGAGACTAACTCGGGTCGTTTCACAAGGATTGGCAAAAGGAAGTATTTGTTAATTATCTTAATATTTTACTTCAAAACAATTAACTTAGAGCACTCAAGTTCAAAGCAATAGCAGTAAATGATTAATCCAATCAATAATTTAGAAACAGGTATGAATCGAACAAGTATATGGGCTAAAATAATAATTTTAGATTAAATTAACTTCTTAATTAATTTGATCCCATATCATTAACTTATCCATTTTTCAGGCCTCATTAATGTGTCTAAATATGGTTGGCTAGATTATTTTTCTTAACTCATAGACAAGCTAGATAAATAATCTCCAAAGATTAATTAATAAATTAGCCAGATCTATTAATTAGTGAATCTCATTTTAGACAAGTGAATCAAATTAATCAAGTTACTAACTTAATTTTAATTACTAATCATTAGCCCATACCCTTAATTCAATTCATACCTAAGTATTAATTTAGCCACTAAAAGCCATTAATTCACAATTCAGACCAAGTATAAAAGATAATTTTATTAATAAAGGAAAGTTTACAAGAAAGCTTACAGATCTTGAAGAACAGAATACACGGCTCACAAAGCTTCAAATCAACACTCTAAACTTTTTAGAAGGACTCTCAAACTCAATTAAAGTGAAGAGGGAAATTTTTGGAGTGGTTTGGAGTGATGTTGAAGCAAATGGCCGAGTGGGGTATTTATACCCGAGCAGTCGCCACAGGCGGGCAGACAGGCGGCCGCCTGTCAGCCCGCCACCGCCAAGTTTGGAAAATTCTGGAATTGCGAAGATTCGAGAATGTCGACAAGCGGTCACGCAGGCGGCTGCCTGCTTGACCGCCGGAGCCAATTCTCGCCGCCTGCGCTTGAGTTCACCGCCGGAGCCACTTTCGCCGTTTGCTGATGCTTGGCAGGCGGCCTGGTAGGCGGCCGCTGTCGACACTCGGCTCCAAAATTCATCTTTTGCTTCAAAATTGATTCTGAACACCTTTCTTTCTTACTCCAACTTCCAAATCCATCCCAATAGGAAAATATTACTAATTTCTTGTTGAAATCAAACATATTTTTATTTTTCTTGGCCCATTCAACTTTACTACTCAAAAATATAGATATATGACTTTTACTAGAAAAATTACTTCTTATTAAGAAGAAAAATTATAAAAAATATGTTAAATGCGAGGATAAAATTATAAATAAAACGACTTTATCAATCTCCTCACACTTAAACTTTGCTTGCCCTCAAGCAAAACAACTCAAGTAAGAAAAGGAATGACATGATTCGCTGTCAAACTCGTAACTCTCAAGAACAACACCAAGTTACTAATCATATAACTTTCTCTTACTTTTAGCAATTCTTTGACTCATTTTCCTTTTATTAAAAAAAACTAACTTGTTTCTTAATTTTTTAGGAGATGCACAAGATTTCATTCTCTAACCAATTCCCAAGGATTAAAAACTTAGTAGTTTTTGGACTTCGGGAATTACCTCCTCTATCATGACTTAACTCAAGTAAATCCGTGAGTATCCCATAAATGTCCTTATGCTTTTATTATTTATAATTGTTCAATGATTTTCTTTGGACAAAGCTCCATGGGAGATAGAATACTCACGTAACTTATAGACTATCGAGATTGTGGGTTTATCCCATTTTATTTGCATACTTGCTCCCTCACCTTATGCGATTTACGGGAGAAGCAGAGCTCCTTTACGGAGATAGGATTCCCAATTCGTCACTTAAGCGCAATCTCAATAGCTAACTTTCTTTTATTTTTTTTGAAAGAAAAGAAATTCCCATCATCCAAACTACTAGTTCTTAATCCCTAACTTTCTCAACCGTTAAACCCACTTGTGCATCTCTTAATAAATAAGAAATAAGT